CCCAGGGTACGTTCCGGTATACCAGACCGTACCCAGGGTACGTTCCGGCAGTACCCTGGTGGACATAGACCCTATGAGCATTGCTGCACTGTTGGCACGCAGCAGGAGGCAGAAATATATATACCACAGCTATTCATACCTAAGTATTATTAGATCTTGATGTATATATATCTATGTCATAGCGGTCATATATTACTGCACATCCTCTAAATAAACACAAATGCAATAGCTATACTATACTACTAAACTGTAAGGAGAGGATGAGATGTTGTAACACACAACACTTTGTTCATTGTGCCTTGTTCCTTGTGCTGATACATTAGCTTATATGTATATATCTTCTCATTGCACTCCTTATCAGATGTGAATATATCTTCTCATTGCACTCCTTATCAGATGTGAATGGCACAGCACAAAACAGAAAAGCGAACTAAATCATCTGCATGAACCATCAATGATGACAGGCACAATCCATACTGTATTACCGAGCAGGGAGCACAAAATCGTCCTCCATGCAGCTCCATACAACATGAGACTCGCACTTGTTTCTGTACGAGACGGAGCCAACTCAAATAACTACATAATGAGCATCCAAGTATAAAATTACTCAAGGTATGAAGAAATACCAGCCATCATATAATACAACGCGCACCTAATAGCAAGGAAGCAACATCTGGTGGGTGAGAACAAAGACAATCATAATTCATGGCCGGCAAATAACTAGAGGGCATGGGTTGAATGATTTTGAAACATCATAAAAACGTGATTGCACCAAGGTGAGTTGCACTGTAAAGTGGTTGCACCAGAAACAGGAAATTCTGGATAAAATTGTAATAATGTTTACATTTTAGAATAATGAATCCTATTCCATAGTGAGGAGCTGCAGGAAAATATATATTATTATTGGAACAAGCTTTAAAAGTGAATCCAAGATTCTTAGGTAGGCAATTATCAGGTTACAAATGCAAGTGACTTGGGCCTTATAAAATCAGTAGATTGACACAAAACCATCAGTTATGGGAGCCACCTATTTCTCTACTGATGAATGAAGACAAGTCATGAACAAGCTGGGAGAGAGTTTTACCATATGCACTTTAAGATAGGGTGGCAAAAATCACCATCATTACACAGGAGTTAAATACCTTTACTGGAATAAGCATGTTACATAAACCAAAAGCGATGCAGTCACTCAATTTTCAACCCTACAGTATAGAGGCTTTTCACATAGTCAATTGCACATTGGCAAGTGACTATTAAACAAATAATATTAAGTGTGCACTTTGAGAACTGTTACATATTCAATATTGTCTACATATATCTCAGTGCTGTTCATGACATAATTCTGTAAGGTCAATTTGAAGCAATTTACTGGCAAGATAAAACTGTTATCAACAAATAACTCGGCATTTACCAGGTAATCATTTACCACTTTTGCAACATGTTGTTCAATCATACATCAATGTTTCTTTTTATCAATGCCGATGTTAATGTGTTGTTGTTCCTTCATTTTCTGCTGTTATTAGCACAAGCTAATAAGCAGACTAATGAACAATACAAATACAATGGCCAGTTTCGAAAGGGACGACTATCTCGATAAATAAATTTTGGCAATGAATTTCAGAACAGACACCTACTAGGGCTGAGACAGCATAGATTTTATAGCAAATCACAGTTCCCCCACAGTTCCGGAGACCCCCTCTTTTAAACGTTCGATAGCATTGCATTTCAACAAAATCCTAGTTTTGGAGACCCCCATTTTCGAATATAGCCAGTTCCAGAGCATCCCACATTCAACAAACATTAGTTCCAGAGAACCCCATTTTCAGGTCTGAGTTAGTTCCAGAGCCCCCCATTTTTGACTTCGCAGTGGCATATACCTACTATGTGGGGTGAGTGCCCCCCAGGAGCAAAACAAGAACTGCAATGTAAATAAGTGTGCTAGTCATACTTTTTGTGTATATACAGGGTTTCTTCTGAGGGAAAATTAGACAACGACGGTAATGGCCAGTTTGGGGAAAAAATGCACATGATGGATTCAAAGGCGTGCAGTAGGCACGAATGTGGATTCTGCAGGAAGACGCGAGGGAGAGAGGTAGAGGGGAGTTCTGGGGGTCTCCCCCATCAAAATTTTAAAAATGTGAATGTATTAGATTTAGACTGCATTTGAGGCACCCCAAAAATAAAATTTCACCTTTTAGTTTAAATATTACTCTGTTAGCAGACCCACCAAGTCTCACGCTGCGCATTTCACGGGAGACTCACACATCTGGACCCATTCTCCCGCATGCTCTATGCATTCTCACGCAAAAGAAAAAAACCGAAAAAAAGCAGCCCGCGACACGCCTGTTACCCACGTTCGTGGCTGTGCACATCGTGGCTCGTGCTTGCTGGCTGGGGCGGCATTGATTGAAGTACGGGGGGAGGGGGGGGTGAGGAATGCACTGATTGTTACAGTCGCGTGGGCATGCTTATTGCTGTATATGTAGGGGTGGGCACCGCTGGTATGAAAGAGCGACAGCAAAACTTTTCCAGAATCGAGGAAAAAGCTGCAATCGGGGATGACACTGGAGTCTGCCGGCACGCAAAAAGAAACGTTGCTGTCAATTTCATTACAATTTTCCATGTAGTCAGAAGCACGTGGTGATCTATTTATTTTTGGATTGACGCTATTTTGACAACGGCGTGTAAATACAGGAACATTTCCACAACGGCGTTGTTAAATTTGACAACGGCGGTGCGCCGCAGTGCCTCCTATGTAGAAGAAACCCTGCATATATCCTTGGTACTATGGTAGTTATCTAACTTCATGAATTTCAAAATATATTGTAAAAGTATGCTATGCATGTATCAATCATGGATAATTACCTAAAAGCTAAATACAGTCCAACCTCCTTTAACCGGCCACGTCGGGACCGGCACCCATCCGGATATGCTATTTGGCCGGATATGAGAGTTATGCTCAAACACAGCATTTCTATGCAGTTCAGTAGGGTTTATGTATGTGATAATGTATTTACATTTTACTCATTGCTACGATTCATTGTAACAAACTGTCGTGTTTTATGGTTTCAATGGAAATAAAATAAAATAATCTGACACAGCCATGCCGCGTTTTTCCAGCCATGTGCGCAGCAGCGGCGCCTTTGATTGAAGTACGGGGCTCGATCGATCGCGAGTGTGTAGCGCGTTTCACTAACGACCGCTAGTGAAAGTTGTTCATTAACGGACGAAAGTTGTCCGGAGGCATAGCGGACACGAGCAGACAACACACACACATACTCTTACGATAATCAATGTGTACATCGCGCGAGAATCATTGCCATCGGTAGGGACATCGCGCGAGTTTTGAGCGAGATTTTTAGGTGGAAATGAATGAAAAAACAGAAAACATACCACTGCGAGATCGCGGCCGTTTAATAGAGATTTCCGGATAACGGGTGGCCGGATAAAGGAGGTCGGACTGTAAGTACTAAGTAAGTGTAAATAAACAAATAAAAATAAAATAGTCTGCAAAAACACACCAATCCACCATAAACCCCCCTGTGTCAGTGTGTGAACCACTCAGGGCACAGGCACTTGAAGCGTTTCAACTGTAAACACACGCCGCCGCCATTGCGCGCACACTGACACATAAATATATAGCAGGTGAGAAAGCGCGACTGCGCACCAGATGTTAACGAACTTTCGCCGCCTTTTACCATGGGCGAAAGTTCGTTAACATCCGTGCGCAGTGCTAGCGAACGCGAGAATTTCGTCAGTCTTTGTGTGATTTCGCATGACACAGCTCGGTTACGAACAGAGACATTATGTTTTCATAACAAGTGAACACTGTTCTTGAAGGAGAAACAAAGATGGAAGCTGTTGGATGTGTATTTGTGTTGAAATCGTGAGAAATGCAGCGAGCGTCGAGCGAATTTTTGGGATCGCGCTTTCTCACCTGCTATATATTTATGTGTCAGTGTGCGCGCAATGGCGGCGGCGTGTGTTTACAGTTGAAACGCTTCAAGTGCCTGTGACTCAGGGCGGCTTCAAGCATAAACGTTGTTGGCTTTGTAACCCTACAGGCCTACTCTTGTTGGGTTACAATGTATGATTATGCTTACACTTACAGTTTCAGTTAGTAGAGACTAGAGTTACACATACTGACATAGATGATAGAGTACCGTAGGCCTACACTTTTCAGACTCAGACTGGCGCCCGTCTGTTTATGGACGCTATAGTATGTTACTGTTAGCTGTTTCTTAGACCATGTTTCACGCCACTTCACATTATAAAACAACACGATAGCTACAATACTGGCTATATAATAAGTTACATATGCTATAATATTACATAATAACATTAACCACAAATACACAACAATAGCTCATTTACCGAGATACCCGCCATGTTTCAACCGACGGTCAACGATGACGTTTTCGCGTGATCGAACTGCCGATTGGTTGCCGTGAACTTTCCCACAATGCACGACTGTGCTTTCACCACTTTCACCACAATCGTTCACTTTTGTTTACAGAGCTTCCCCTGCTGCCCTGCAGTTAGCAAGTTATAATATTATGGTGATTGTAATGGAAGTATTGAATGTACAAGTTCTGCAACATCGTGCCAGTAGTAATACTAGTATATAGTCACAAAATCCAGAACATGACAATACCCACAGCCGTTGTTCACTTTTGTGTATTTGGGAGCGTATTACTATCACTATCAGTATCAGGTGAGAGTTATCTTTGTGCAATTTCAACTTTCAAGCAATGTTACATGTATACGGTGTTTTGTTTGTTCGGCAACTACCTGTTGCGGATCAAAAGGTTGGCTGGTGACATCACAGGCACTTGGAACGTCTCAATAAAAAAAAGAGGAAAATAAACACGAAATGTATTTACTACCATTTGTCTTAATCTTTCTCTACTCTATTTCGCTTATAAATAAGGTAGTGGCTAAACGACCGGACCCGGTTTCGGAGGCCTGAAAACTAAACAACCGGCTCTCTTCTCTGATTGGTCAGTTTCCGAACATAACAGGACAAATATATTAGGACAATTTTTAATGCAAAACATAAAGAAATATATTGAATTCCTAACATAAACAAAAGTTACAGAACAAATAAATGAATACGGAACAAATGAATGCAGAAACAAATAAAATACAAAGAAATAGAAAGCAGAGGAAAATAAAGACACCTTATGGGGTTCGAACACGGTACTTTACTATCAAGAAGCGAACACTCTACCGTTGAGCCACTGCAACCAACTTGAAAGTTCAGCTATAGACCTAACCCTAACCCTAACCCTAACCCTAACCCTAACCCTATCCCTAATTCTAAAATAAAATAAAATTAGCCAAATTAGCCAAAAATAATAATAAATGAAATAGTGACAAAATTAGCCAATCAGAGAAGAGAGCCGGTTGTTTAGTTTTCAGGATACCAAAACCGGATCCGGTTGTTTAGACACTTCGTATAAGGTAATCACCTGTAAATGCCACTGGCACTGGCAGCAAGAACAAGTCCGCACCTGCAGCACACACGCATCTATTGACTATATATTATATATATACAACATGGTGCTTAACTCGCCGCCACTCTTTCCACTTAACTCGCCACACTGTTTTCAATCGGTTACACTCCGGTGTTCTGCAGCGTAACGCCACTTTCCCAACGATCGTTGCGAATCGCATGGAAGACTGTTAACAGCTGACACCCGCCTTTTGACAATGTCTTCCGGGATTCAACGATAGTTGGGAGATGGGTTACTGCAGGAAGCACCGGAGTTGTTAACTGATTATTGAACGGTGAGTTGTGGAAGTGCGGTGGCGATTAAGCGTGTTTGCGGAGTTTTTTGGCCTCGCAGAAAAACTAATATAGCTGATATTAGTCTCACATTACAGTGGATATCAGCTGATTTACAACTTCAAACACCAAGATTTTTGCAGTTATAGCCATAGGAAAATTGATTTGCACCATCATACCAGCAATAAATTTTATCGTGTATCCGACTCTGTTAAAATTCACATGAATGGCGTTTTTTAAACAAGTGCGCATAATTAAACGAAGGGCGTGCATTCTGGGGACAAATTCTTGCTTGGGTAATCGTATTGAGTTTTTTATGGCATAGTTCAGAGCATTCTCGCCTTGTATTCCCGGTGTTGCTATCTAACTGGCAATCTGTAGGTTTGATGACCATTACGCTGGATTTAGTCTACACTGCTGTTACGGCAGTATTGGCGTCTGGTTTACACTCTGAACCTGTTTCTACGGTGCCCAGTAGCACTCTCACTGCACCGTGATGAGGATGTCGTCGCGTGCTACCGCGAAGAAGTCGAGAGGATGGCCACGGTTAACAGAACAAACGCACATTGTTAATCGCGCATGATCTTCATGCATTTTGTTGATACGAAGTTCGAAATTTTGTCGTTACTCTAGACAATTGCTGTTACTCAAGCAATAACGGTAGGTATCATGAAAGTGGGGAAAACACTGGAAAATTCTCGCAATACACGCTTTAAGCACCATGTTGTATATAAAAGTCAATAGATGCGTGTGTGCTGTAGCTGCAGGTGCAGACTTGTTCTTGCTGCCAGTGGTAAATGCCGGTCAAATGCTCATCTGCAACAGACAAGTATGCTGCACGCCCGCGCTGTGCACAAAAAAACATGAATAAGAGAGCAGGTAGGAAAGCCTGATGCAAAAATTTGCTCGACGCTCGCTTCATTTCACACGTTCACAGCACGAATACACATCCAACAGCTTCCATCTTGGTATCTATGTGTACATAAATGTTCACTTGTTCGAATTATAACTCTGCCCTTTGTCCTTACCTACTCCCGCCAGAGATATCTCGTAAAATCCTGCAGGAAATGTTCTCTTCGTGAAAATGTAAAGTAAGTGTAAAGAGAACGAGATGTCTGTTTATACACGAGTAATGGCGGCGCATTGCATGCCAAGATGAGCTACTGCCGGCCTCCGAGCCTCCGTTTCGAGGCCCGCCAAGCCAAGCATAATGCGCGCAGGTATGACGTCACACACACACGACTACAGCGATCGATCGAAAGTAGCGCCGTTAGAGATTTTCGGATGATAACGTCCTCTTTACAGTTACTTTACATTTTCACGGAGAGAACATTTCCTGCAGGATTTCACGAGATATCTCTGGCGGGAGTAGGTAAGGACAAAGGACAGCGTTATAATTCGAACAAGTAAACATTTATGTACACATAGATACCAAGATGGAAGCTGTTGGATGTGTATTCGTGCTGTGAAGGTGTGAAATGAAGCGAGTGTCGAGCACATTTTTCTATCAGGCTTTCCTACTTGCTCTCTTATTCATGTTGTTTGTGCACAGCGCGGGTGGGTGGCGTACTTGTGTGTTGCAGATGAGCATTTGACCGGCATTTACAGGTGATTATAGGCGAAATAGAGTAAAGAAACATTTTAAGACTTTGGTAGTAAATACATTTCGTGTTTATTTACCATTATATTTTTTTATTGAGACGTTTCAAGTGCCTGTGGGTGACATGGTGTCTCACTGACACTGTCTGTCAAGACAGCTGGTAAGACTGTAATAAATGTGTGTGGTAATGATATATATGTACATCGTCATTTTGTATATTGGTACGGTACGACATACTATAATTACGTTCTACGTCTACTATAACATAGTAACATATTATATGTTCATTTACAAGGACTAACATTTAAAAAGTCTACACAGTCACTGTCAGTATGTTAGTCATAACTAATACCCCGTACAGACTTCGAATTTGATATGGCACTAAACTAGCGCGCGTTAGACGCGCGTCTAACGTGCGCTAAAATTGCAGTGTGTACACCCTATGCCACTCCAAATACGCGCTGGCCCGCTCCAAGTTAGCCCCCCTTACGAAGCAGGGCTATCTTGGTGCACACCAAGTTATCCCGCTCTAACTCTGTGTCTGTACGCAATCGGTGCCTAACCCGCGCTAAGTTTTGCAATGCGCATGCGCATAGCCTTATTTAGGTCACGTACGCTCGCTCGCACGCACGCTTGCTGTACCTCACTGTCTGCGGGGTGACGTGGCGAGCAGGGAACTGAGCGGTGGGAGAACTGATGACTCATTTAAAGTAGGGTCAAATATGCAGTCTGTACACTCCTAGTTAGCACGCACTAAGTTAATGCGCGTGTGACGCGCGCTAAAATTCGTAGTCTGTACGTATAAGCTATAAGCTATATATAAGCTAGTACCGTGATACGAGGCTGAGAATTTGTATCATCACAGGCACTTGGAACGTTTCAATAATAAATGGATGGTAAATAAACAAAATGTATTTGCTACCAAAGTCTTACTCTTTCTCTACTCTCTCCCTCGCCTATTATTACCAATAACTTTCTTTAAATTCTGTTCACTTGTTCGAATTATAACTCGGCCATTTGGTACTGCATACTATACCCAGAGGTATATGGTGAGTACCTGTGGAAAACTCCTACTCTGCTGAAGTGTAAATGGGAGCAAGTACCTGTTGAACATCCAAAACTCCCTAACCGCATTACTCGATTGTTTGGCCAGTGAACTTATAGTCGTGTGTGTGACGTCGTTCGCTCACGAAACATGCTACGCCAATATTAAGTGAACAACACACCGCAAATAAGTAAAACTTGCAACGAGAGATCAAGCCGGATGACGAAGACGCAAGTTTAATGACGTCACACAATACATGTACACAATACACAAGAAGCCGATAGGCGATAACACAATACACTGGCGCTAGCTTAACTTGGCAAGCCTCGACATGAAGCCTGGAAGCATGCATGCTTGAACCCAAAATGCAATGTGGCGCCATTACTCATGTATTAACAGGTACTTGCTCCCATTTACGTTTCTGTGGCGTGGGAGTTTTGAATGTAGTAATGCCAGGTAATATATGTACCTGACACCAGGGGAAAAAATACACGGGGGCGGCGGGCGATTTCGCCCCCGAAATGCCAAAAAGAGCCCCCGAAAATACGATATCGGGGGCGACCCCAAAAGCAAAAGTCGCCCTGGAAATCGATTGTCCAGGTCGGTCCCGCGCCTTGCCGATCTCGCTCGGCCTCTGCCGCTAGC